TTTTCAAAGCTCAAGTGTAATTATGTGACCCCCTCTTTTACTGGCTTGGATTAAGATCAACATTCTTCATAAGACTCAAAAGCTGGCCATGTAACCTCTGGTGTACCATTCCTTTCTAGTTTTGCCAGTCTTCCCTAGCTCACTCTCTTCTTTGTGGATATGGCTCATGCACTCATGCTACGTGCACCCTGAAGGGCTTCTTCTCATGCATTCTGCTTCCTTTAGTGTTCCTCTGAGCCTGTGTCTTCAGAAAGCTTCCCCTGACTGCCTCCTCCTCACCTCTCATAGCACCACAGTTCTTTCTTAGAACTTAGCCCAGGTGCAAATTATATCACATTAATATGACCTGTTAAGTAATTTGAGCAATCAGTTAAGCATGTAAACGACTTGACTAACACTTGGGTTGGATGGCAAATAAACTAGCTTCTATGTTAGTTATACATAGAAAGGCAGAAATTTATGAATATTCTTAGAATTTAATTATACAGAGCTATTAAGTCTGCCAATGACTAGAAGAATCCACAGTGGACATTAAAAGTATATGCTCGATTTTGGTTACCTGGTTACCTTGGCTGTGTACCTAAGAGTATCTGTTAGAATTTTAGAAAACTTTGAAGAAAACTATGTAATAGAATAAACTTTAAAATCATATTCTTCCATTTTAAAAAGAAGAGTGACATCCAAAATCATTTCTCTGGATTTTATTTTCATTTTTTAAGTTTAGAGTATTTAAAGGAAACCAATTACTCTATCCTCTCCACTACTTAAAAAAAATCTATATATTTCGATTGGTAGAATATTTCATGGTATGATTAGAGTTGGGTTCAGAAGAGATTGTGACCCTTGCACATGTGATGATTTTATTTCCTTAATTTCCATTTCAGTGCTATATACATCTTTCCTGGAGCATTGTAGCTATGAATCATGGAAGAAAATTAAATGGATTCTCTATTCTTCAACCCTACAATTTGGCAATGGGAATATTTTTTCCCTAAAAAATGACTCATTTACAAAGAGACTTTCTGTGAACATGGAAAAGACAAATACTGTCAGAAATCTTGCAGAAGAGGGTAGGGTGGATATTTGGTCCTAATTATTGCCAAATGTCAAAATTAATGTTAAACAGTATTAATCAGAATTCACATGAAAGTTATGGTTCTACAGGAAAACACAAAAACTTGTATATTCAGAAAAATAAAAGCTCAGTAAGCTATATGAAAAGCTTATCATTTTTCCTGTTTCAGGGCATTTTTATTGTCTTAGTGTACCCTGCTATGAGTCAACCAATGTTTTATATTTTGCTCCTCTTGGAAATTGGAATATTCCTCCCTGTTAACCTTTATTTTCCTGATTTTTTAATCCAGAATTTGTTTTTCCAAATTTCATCCAATTTCTTCTGGTGATTTGCCCTGGGAACCCCCAGCTTGGATGTGATTTTGATTTTCTTTATTTTGTTACTAATTGTGCTTCCTTTAGCTTCTAAAGTGATCTCTGAATTTCTTTATGCAAGTAAATTTTCAAGAATTCATTTCATTATAAGTTACTCACAACAATAAAACCTGGTTTTCATATTGTGGGAAGCATTTATTATTCCTGTACTGAAGTTCTTCCAAAGACACAAACAAACAGGGCCGTTTTAAAATACACTGAAGCATTGTTCACACGTTCCGCATTAAATCTGAATGAGTGATGAAAAAGGGTTAAATCACTGTGATGGTCACTGGACTCGCTCATGCTCTACTGGTGGCTCTTCAGAAGTGTTCTCATGGTTTTGTACAGTCTTCACTGACTCTGAAGAGAAGAAAGGAACATTTATTGAGTTCCTAACATCTTCCAGACGTTTCAGACGTTTTCATCTTTGACTCCATTTGTTTCTTTTCAGAAGTGAAGTGGGTATTATTATCCTGGTTAATGTAAGAATCAAGGTTAGCTGGGCAAAGTGACTTAGCCAAAATCCTGTAGAAAGTAAAGGGAGGAACACAAATTCAGCCCAAGATCTTGCAATTTCAAAATTCATTGTCTTTCCACTTTTACTATGTTGCCGCCCAGGATTTGGGAATTTGATCACTGCCTGAGGTCACATTATGAGTCAGAGGTGAACTGGGAACACAAGCCTGGGGTATCTCCACGTTGCTTTAATCCATTAAAATGCAGTGTGTCTTCTCTCACAAATGCATCACACTAACTTCCTCGAAGAGGAGAGACCGCACGGCAGCTTTTGGTCTTCTACAAGAGATTAATTTTCTGATAAAAGTAATAAAGCATATATGACATATAGCTTAGCTTTTGAAAATATATGAAAGAAAATTAATTTATTAAACTGTACTTTGCAGATGACTAACTGTTTTGATGGGTAGCCAATCTCCATGGTAACTTTCTTTTGAGGAATTTTATGAGCATTCCTTTCCTCTGGGCACTGAGAATTCTAAACAATTAAAACTAGTCTGGCAAAATGGGGTCTTGGAATCTGATTCACAGTTTTAGAATCACAAGATGTGATCTATCATGAAACATCTTCAGACGGTGTTTCCATTGGCTCGGTTAGCTTACTAGCTATGTAACTTTGGGTAAGTTACCTGAACTTCTGTACCTTAGTTTCCTCATCTGAAAATGTGGAAAATGTAGAACCTACCTTAAAGGGGTGTTGTAAGGATGAAGTGACTTAGCAGAGGTGAAGAAATTTATCTGGAACATGGTAAGTGCTATATAAATCATTGCTCTTATTATTTCTTTCTGTTGTACATCATGTAAGACTATCCAAAGAATGCATACAGGGTTTTAAAGAATCTGAGGACATCCTAGTATACTTATAAATATATATGTATTTATACTTATACATTTATAAATAGCCTAGTTCTGTTTAGGCTTGTGCTAGTAGTGCCAGAATTGAAATCCAGTTGCAGGCTGGTTGAGGGATTCTAAAGTGGTTGAGGGAAGGCTATTCAGTGATAATTAGAGTGGTAGAGATATAAGTCTGAACAAACTCTGAGGAGATTAACTTCTTTTTCTTGACTGATCTTGAGAACACAAACCACATGGTATTGCTAAAAGTTTCAGTTTACTCCTGGAAGCAGCACCAATGTAATGTGGGTCCTTGGAGAAAGAGATTTTTCACATTTGTGTGCAGTGTGGATGACCTGAAAATAAATTCATCCAGTATTTGATTAACAAAAAATGTGTCAAATGTTCTGTTCAATGCTAGAAATACAGAAGTGCATTAGACGTGGTCCTTTATTTCAAGGGGACACATAATCCAATGAGACAGAGATGGTGCCAGCGCAGAGAGCCTAAGATGTGTTTGAAAACTGCAGGCTGTTTTTTTGAAGTATGGAAAGATTAGTTATGAGATTCATTCACTGATGAAGTAAAATACTGAAGGATTGGACGAAGGGACTTGAGAAAAATTTGAGTCTGAGAAATCCTGGAGAATGTGTAATGATATGTATGTACTCTGTGAGGAACTGGATGGGGTAGAGGGAAAGGATAATGGTTGGTGATAGAAATTATATAGTCATCACCATATGGAAGTAACAGCATTTTACACAATAAGTAATGCAGGTGCGTGTAAAAGGAGAAAAAGCTAGCACTGCTCTTTCTGAGACAAACGTCATGATTATTGTTGTTGTTAGATCTAGCAAAGACTAGCGAAAGGAATATTTGAAAGTGGGAGTAGAAAAGCAGGGATTTTGATATCACTAAAGTTGCAGCTAAAAATGCACTTACCAATGAGTGGGTAAATACAAAGATGGGTGAAGACAACCATGGAAAGCTACATGGAAGTGAAGCTTTTGGATTTAAGAATGAAAATGTAATTGGCAGCATTTATAAGACCTGTTGACAACAGAAAGCTGTACCCAAGCAGTAAGATCTGAGAAAGGTGGAAACTGAGCAGAGAGTGGGAGAAAGATGACATCTGAATGAGAGGCAAATGTGTTTGCAGGTGCCAGGTGGTTAAATCAACAGGACATTGACCCTGAGGGACCTGGGTAAATGTTCAAGGCCTGGAAATTTGGTTTGGAGTTTAGTCGCCATGTGCTCAGTGAAGAATGAACATTTTGTCTCTGTCTGAAAAAGTTGTGCTGTTTTTACCAAGGGTCCAATTCCTGGAGGGATGTGTGAAAAACAGTGGAGCTGAAAGTGACCCTCACCTCAGGGTTGAGAGGTGGGAAGGACACGATATGGAACATTTATGCAGTTAACACCAGCTTTCCAAAATAAGTGATCCAAAGGCTGTTATGGATTTAATCTGAAAAATAACATTTATCAAGGCTTTAATTTATTTCAGGGATTAACTTAGGTGGCCACTAATCAGGTAGTTAAAGACTGCATTACACTTGGCTAATCCTCTAATCTTAAAGTGTTCTTCCCTTGAAAGTGTTGAATACATTTCTAATGAGCAGAACATTCTTCCAAGGTGCTGAGAACATTGGCTCTGTGTTTCCATCCCAAAGCCTTCCTTTTCTTTTTCTAACATTTTAAATTTGAACTAGTTTTAACTTACAGAGAAGTTGCAAAAATAGTGCATAGCTCCCTTATATCATCTATCTAATTTTTTCTAAAGTCAGCTTCTCATAAAACTACAGATATAAAAAAAACAAGAAGTTAACATTGGCATCAGTTAACTAAACTACAAACTATTCAGATTTTACCAATTTCTGCACTAATGTCCTTTTTTCTGGTCCAGCATCCTATCTGGGACCTCACATGGCAGCTTTTACTTATCTTTTGTGACCTTTCCTGGTCCCAAAGCCCTCCTTTTAGTGGAAGCATTTCTGGATATTTTTATTAACCTAGAGATATTTAGTGCCTTTTCCTAAACACTGAAGGATCTGAATTCCTTATTAAGCATTTGACAAGTTTGTTATTTTGGTTTCTGAAACAGTTTTGCTAAGTGAAGTCTTGAGTGTAAGAAACTTGAGACAGGAGTGAGTCCTGAAATGGAGGGCTGTTCTTTGTTAATGTGATGCAATATTAATTATTTCTTGTTTGCTTTTCTTTAGGGATATCAGGGAATTACAGGATCACCAGGTGTTCCAGGATCCACAGGAATACAAGTATGTGATCCATTTATACACATTTTGGAAATAACCGTTTCTAGTGAACAAAAAACTTAATTAACCAAATTTTGTTCTGTGGTTAATTTAGGGAGCTCAAGGACCACCAGGTTACAAAGGAGAACCAGGGAGAGATGGTGAAAAGGTAAATGCACACAAACAAAACTGCATCCAGTCTTTTTTGTCCCTCATTGAAGACAAAGGACGTTACCTGTGTTGACTCCCATTCAATAGTGCTCACTTTGGTGAATTCCAGGATTTGTGGGCTCAGAAGTTTGTCAGTGGCCATTGGCTAATAAAGCTCACAGAAGGCTTTTATCACTGGAATATCACCAGATGACCACTGTCAGATGGAACAGGTATTAGCATTGTCCCGGGGCCCAGTTCTCTCCCTGTGGTTAAGGTCTGCAGGGAGCTTCCTTCTTAGAAGGGAGAAAATTAGGTGAATGGGGTGTGTTCCCATATTAGCCACAGACAGCCCCGTACCCACATGTTCATCTCCATGTTATACACCTATTTGGCAGGTGGCCTGCTGGCTTAGCCTTACTGGATTTTTCCTTCAGGGCTTCAGTGGGTACAGACAACATTTGTACTGCTGACTCTGTTTTTACAACTGAGATTTGGTAAACTTCCTACTGAAGTACATTTTCTTTAAGTATGTTTAGTGTGTTAGTACCTGTCCATGGATTTCATTAAGGCCTACCAGCCCTGGCAGCTGGTCCACATCCAAGACGCCCATTTGTATTTGCACAGAACCCGTGTTGATTTGTTAGCTTAATTCCTAAAGCACAGTCTTAAAGTTCTTAGAAGGCATTTTGCTGTTTGCTCCTGATAAAAACCTGTACTAATTTTCTACCTACAATCCTTGCAAAACTATTCCTTTTTAAAATAATGTGCACTGCATTCCTATCTGAGAAACACTGATCTGAACTATATCCATTTTATGGTTTTATGGTTGCTCATGTTGGATGCAGAAAATTATAGCTGCTAACTTGCTATCACTGGATGGACAGATCTCTAGCAGATCTCAACGTGGATATGCCACTTTCAAGCTATTTGACCTTGAGTGCCTTAACGTCTATGAATCTTATTTTCTTCATTGACACAATGGGAATTTCTAGATAGGTTTATTGTGAGGCTTACATGAGAGAATATATGAGAAATACTTACATGGCTCCTGGTACAGGGTTTTTCTTAAATGGATGTTGTTCAAGCAGCACAGTTGATCTTGGGACGTAGCATGATATGGGCGGGCATATGTCAGGGGCAGGACCTGGGCGAGAGTGGTTGTCAGGGCAAAAAGGAGGGTTAGTGACTGGCAAAGAAGCAGATGGAATAGGTCAGTACAGCATTATGATGTGGGGACAGTTAGACAAGGTAGAGCAGCAGTAATCGTCAATTAATTCCTGAAGTGGTGTAAAATCCTATTGGTCTGCTGAGTGGCCCTGAGCCTCTATGAATTTTTTATGCACCAAACAATCTCTGTTTATTTTGAATGATGGGGGTGCATCTCAAGGGATGATGGAGAGCAGGCCAGGCCCACATGAATGAGAGATGTCTGATATTTTTGTGCTCTGGGGCCGTCGTGAGAGACAGCCTGACTTCCTTCAGGTTAATGAGGGATTCTCCAGTGAAGGACACCTGTTCTGAGCAGACCATGTGCTAGGTCCCTCATCTACGTTCTAATCTATAGGATCATTGCTGTTCCTTTGCATTCTCACAAATAGGCCCATGTTGGGGTGGTGACGATGTATGAAAGTATGCATGGATCAATGAATATATCTCTGAATGGGTAAATGAATAAACTTATTTTTTGTTTTACTTGGGTTTTAGAGACCAAATGTAAAAAGGCTTTTTATTTTTCACCTTAAAAGAATTGGAGTAAAGTGCTTATTCAAAAATAAAAGAATAACAATAATTTTGTAAGTCACATCTTAACCTAACTGCTCTATCATTTTCTGTCTGTAAAACAGAGGTGTGTGAATTTTACAAAGCCATGCCTTCTGTTGAATAAGATGAAGAAGCTGTATGTTTAGGTAAAGGTCTCTGTTCTCATTCAGTTGGTTGTTTTCTGAAATTCATTTTTGGGCATAAATGGATCTGACAGAGCCACGTGGTCTTAAAGTCACCGTGTGCTCCCATCTAAGTTCCCTCATATTCTCTGTGACTTCCGAGAGTTCTTTGTCTAGAATTGCAATAATTTACTGAGCTAAAGACTTTTCCTTGGTTCTTCCTGTGTCATACTGCTCCTTACTGAAATGGGAAGGTTAAAAAATATACCCTGAAATGGCCCTGACCTGTGGCAGTGCCCAATCTTTTTTCTGAGGCATCAGAACAGTGGCCCTTGGGAGAGCTTTCCACACAGTACAATTCTCCATTAGGGTATTTTCCCAGCATGATTTCCACTTTGTGGGTTTCCTCAGAAAATTCCCATAGTAGGAGTTACCACATAATTAAAAAAATATGTTCTTTCTTGTGGACTTTAACATTTTTTCCTCACATATCAGAAAATAAAACCTGTACAGATTATGCAGGGTTTTTCATTTTTTCCCTGAATTTACAAAATTAAAAGGAGCACATATCCATCAAATGGTCTTCAATTGGTAACTCATTTTACATGGTTTAAAGCTATTCTTTGGAATCTAAGAAATAAGCTTGAAATACTTTAAGTACTTTAAAACACATCCTCAACTTTAAAGAAACCTAATATATTTAAATCATGTGAGAAATAGATTTTGTTAAAATTTGTATTAGGATGCTTTGGTTAGTTGACAAGTATTTGTAGACTTTCAAGTTTGAGTATGAAACTTTTTTATGGCATATTTAATTCTGGACACACAGGAAGTATTAATAATATAAATATTCTAACCTATCCAGACTTTACATGAACTTATCCTGTGGTTTTACTGGGCTTAAGAAATAAAATACATTAACTGTATCTAAGATGTCATCATGGAACAAATTATACGTTTTGTTTAATTTCTTCATTAGGTCATTTAACATTTGAATTGTCCTTCAAGGCCTCGCTTTCCCATTGTCCTAGCGTGCATAGATGAGTGTCGTGTGATGGGCGAGGCTTCCTTACTTCCATTCTCTGTGCCTCCAAGTTGTTCCAGTGGTTTCTATATATAGTCCGTCATAATCAGGGAACTCCAGTATATCCATGTTGAGACGACGGAAATAAAGGACCAAGCTAAAAGGGTTATTAGGGAATAATGTTAAAACCAAGTCTGTTAGTGATTTTACTTTTTGCAGTGTTCCTAAGACAAAAAAGGGAAAGATTTGAAAAAATTAAAGCCAATAGTGACATACGAGGGGGAAATAGTTAGAATTGACTTAGTAAGGTTGCCTTTTCCTTCTTTGTCAAAAAGGGAGTGTGATCTACTTTTGTGGCTTTCTGATAGTACAGAAAACAAAGGCCCAAACAGTTGTGTGTGCGTGTGTGTGTGTGTGTGTCGGTGGGGGTGGCCAGGCGGGTGGGGAAAAAAGGAGGTGAGGGGCTTAGCGCAGTTACAGGTCACAGGCCGGGCTCTGGATTCAGACTGCTGAACTCCCTAGTCATGCTTCTTCATCTCTTTAAACTTGGTTTTTAAAATCTGAAAAGTGAGCGTTATAGTATTTCTTCAAAGCCTTGTGATTAAGATTAAATAAGGCTACAAGTTAAAATAATTTTATGCTTGGTCAAAATTAAACATTTACAATAAATCAGTGATGATGATGATGGTAATGAGGACAGTTTGCTTCCTGGGACTACCATCCTGCTGATGACCTAAAGTAAAAGTTTCGGAAATACCTTTGGTTTCTCCTTTGTTATTTCTCTAAATGTTGAAGTGCTCTCTCTGAAGCAGCCAGACAGGAATCCCCACACTTCTAATTATATCTACCTTCATACCTGTGTGTATATATCCATATTCCGCCCTCTGTCCTGTTAATGTGGATGAACTGTCCAAATAGATTGCCCACCCCCCTGGTGCGCTGGATCCCAGTATTCTCCATTACTTTGTGTTATTAATTAGCCTTTCTCATCTGTGTCATTAGTGCTTTTTCTTTTTTAGTCAAATCTTCCCAATAGTGCAAAGGATGACCCATCTGAAACCAACCAAGCTAAACCCCGCTTCCTCACCCATGTCGCCTCCTCTAGCCACCACCCCACTTCCTCCTCCCGTCGCAGGGTGTTTTGCTTTACGCCCTCTGCACTTTCTCACTTACTTCTCTTTGACCCACTCTGTAGGGCTCCCAGCCGGACCTGCTGCTGCGTATTTGGATCACTGATGTCTACCATCTTTGAAATCCAGTGGACGGAGTTTTCCAATGATCTCCGTTTATCTCCTTATATGTCCCAGCAGCACTTGGCACAACTAACTATCCTCTTCTGGGAACTTTTCTTCTCTTGGCTTCTGGGATGCCCCATGTTCCTAGATTTTCTCTTGCCTTCACTGGTTACCTTTTCACAGCCTTGTTGTCTTCCCCGATTCTATCCATTCTCTAAACGTTGGGGTGTGGCACGGTTCTTTCCTGTGCCCCTCCCTTCCTTAATAGAGTCTCTTACTATTATTTATATTTATATGTAATTTATGTAATTATATATGCATAATTGTATGATTTATAATTATATAAATTTATATGACTGTATTCAATATACATATTGGTAATAAGTATAAGTGACTAATATATTGATATAATTAATGTTAGAATTAGTATAATAAATAAAAATATAATTAGAATACACAGACATATGCACTGTTTTCCACTAAAATATTTTCTTCATCTGAATCTGGAGAAACTGGAATTGTTCTTACAACCAGGATTATCAGAAAATCTTTACTTTTTATGAAAGAGATGATACCACATTTGTGCCTTCTTTTCTACATCCTTTCCTCAGAGGCTTTTCTTCCCAAGCAGCACGAGTGTGCTTATCGTAATACTCTGTGAATTCAGGCTTTGTTGCGTGTCCTGCCTGTATATTCGGTGCTGCCCTGTACATGCTCAGGTTTTTACTACTTCTCTGGATACTTTTGCCAAGTCTTGATTGTTTTCCTGATCTTTCAACCCCTTTCTTTTTAAGGCTCTCAAATGAATTCAGCATCTCAGTTTACTATAAAGGATCATGAATTCCATGTCCCACCTAAATTATTGGCTGCGATG